GTGATCCACCCGCCTCGGCCTCCCAAAGTGCTGGGATTACAGGCTTGAGCCACCGCGCCCGGCCCTCGGCCCCCTTTCTCTATGAGGAAATCAAATCTCAGCTTGCCTAGGATCCCATGACCAGGGAGGCCCCAACTTCACCCCGATGGGTCTTGTGCGTCTTGGGTCTGCTGAGCCGAGTCAGAGAAAGGTCTATTATTCCCATTTTACAGAGGCTTATTGTCCAAAGGTGAAGCCACTTGTCCAGAGGACACGCGGTGGGCCAGCGACTCTGAAACCTGTTGGAACTGTCCTCTATTCAACGACTCCCCAGGCTCCCTGCCCCTGCGCGCTGCTGAGACCGGGTCATTTTCGGTTCTACCAGGCAAGCGGGGCACCCTGTCCCTACTGCTGTTGCCCTCAGCCAAAACCAAGTCTGCGGCCACCACCCACCCGGCCTATCTCCCAGCCTTATCTCCCCAGCTCTGCCGCTTGACCCCTGCACCCCACCAAACCGCAGCCTTTGCCCGGACGCCCTCACCGCCTCGGCTGGCCCCCGCGCGCGCCTCATGAGAACCCCTGGACTGGCCTGGCCTGGCCCTCCAACAGGCCCCCAGACTTGGGATGCCCAGGGTGGCCGCTGAGGCCTGGAGAAGTCTAGGCCTCCCCCGTGCACACCCAACAGTGCGCCCCAGAGGCTCAGGGCACCCCGGCAGTGTGGGGATGTGGTGCGATGAGCGGAGCTCGAGCATCCAGGGCAGAAGAGGGGACCCGAGAGGGGGCCAGGGAGACAGACAGCGAACAGGGGTGAAGCCGAGGCCGGACGGAGCACGCAGCGGACAACGCTGGGTTCAAAGGGGAGAGAGAAGGCGCAGACAAGAGACGCGAGGCTGGACTCGGGCCAGGCGCTCCGCCGGGCGGAGATGGGCGGAACGGGGGCGGGGGCGGGGACGGGAATGGTGAGGCGGGGACGGGGGGCGGGGACGGGAATGGTGAGGCGGGGACGGGGGGCGGGGCGGGGATGGGAAACAGGCGCGAGGTTGGGGGCCAGGGAGAGGCCTGGTTGCGCCAAGGGGAACAAGTGCCTGGAGGACCTCCCGCCCGCTCCAGGCCCTGCCACTCCAAGTCCCCAGCACTGCGCCAGGCCCCGCCCCTCCAGGCCCTACCGTTCCGGGGCGCGCTCCCCGCCCCGCCCCCGCGGCCCCGCCCCCGCCCCAGGCTCCCCCCACTCCAGCCTTTTTTCCCTGGCTGGGGGCTGAGGCCGGCTGGGAGCAGAGTCCGGCTGCGTGACGCCGGAGGTGCGTGTCTGCAGCTGCTCCGGGTCCCCCGCCAGGCCCGCCGTACCCAGCCCCGCCGCCGGCCCCCGGTGCGCCTGGCCTTCTGCGCCCCCAGGTAAGTGAGCGCCCCGCGCCGCGAACGCCGCCCCAAACGCCACACTCACGGCAGGCTCCGGCCCCGCCTCCGCGGTCATGGCGGCCCCAGCCCGGCCCCCATTACCCAGCCGGGGACTGTCCCCTCGGGGCTTCCCCTCTGGGCCGCCTCCCGGAGAGATCCGCGCTCCCCCAAGAGGGCCGGGGCGCCGCGGGTGCCCGAGGACGCGCCTGCGAAACGGGTGGGAGTGAGTAGGCGCGATCCCGGCCTCGTCACGCGGGGGAACCTGATGTGTGAGCCGGGGGAGCGCCCCCTGCCCCCGACGTGCCAGGGCTGGGGACGCAGCTGGGACCCTGGCCTCGGAACCCACAGCCGGCCGCATAGACGGCTTCAGAGAACCTCTTAAACACGTCATTCCAAGCCTAAGCTAACGCTTCAGGCTGCCTGTGTGGGCTGGAGGTGCCCAGGTGGGGATGGTGTCATTTGGCCTGGTTGAACCAGCCAGCGAGGGCTTTTTAGGCCCAGAAAACTGCAAGATTGCGGGGCAGGGCCCAGCCGGGACTGCGTGCCGAGCAGAAAAGAGGCCAGCGTGGCTGAAACGCGGAGAGGGAGGGCCGGAGATGGAGGCAGGTTGGCTAGGGCCTGGGAAGCGGTGAGGAGAGCGTGGAACTCGTCCTCGGGGCGGTGGGGACCAGGAAGGCTTGCAACAGCAGGTGCATGGCGTGATCGGATTGTGTCTTAAGAAGAACATCCCGTGGGAGAGATGGGGATACTTGGAAGGAGGCTGCTTGCCTGACCTGGCTGGAAGGTGATAGGAACTGAGGGAACTAAAAATTTCGCTTTGGTGGAGGAGCATCGTCTACTTCCTCTGTCTCCTTGTAAGTGGGGTGTGGGGACAGGTGTTTCTCCTGGGTAGTTAGGAGTATATAGGAGGCTTTCGTTGCTGGGTTGGGAGACTTTGGGGGGAAACCCGCTGGAGGAAACAGGGAAGCGGGCAGGGAAAGGCTGTTGTGTTTTGCAAAACCTATGAGATGGGAGAATGCTCTATAGATTCCAGTCTGAACCCAGGCAAGGTCTGGGGCATCTGAGCTCAGAGGCCAGGGTGACCCCACTGGGGCGACCTGGATGTGTTCTCTGGGGATAGGTTTCCTGGACTGTCTGCATTGTCTTCGAAGCCCTCGGCCTCCCCAGCCTCAAATGGGTCTTCCTTCTAGGAGCAGCTGCTGTGAATAAACACAGAAGTGGAGCGGGGGGTGCTGACCAGAAGCCTCATTGAGTGCACCTGGGCCCCAGCAGGCCCAGCCAGGCATGGAGGAGGACGCAGTGAGGACTTTCCTTACCTGTTTTTCCAGCTCACCCACTGCTAGCAGAGATACTTTGAGCCTGGGGGGTTGGGGGAGCCTTGGTCATTTAATTGGTTGTGGGACCCCAAGGAAAGGTTTCTGGCCTTCAGTCTGCCCATCTGTAAAATGGGTCAGTAGTATCTGAGCCTAGGAGCGTTCATCGATCAATGAAAGCAGAGGCTAGGCAGATCTCTGTGGCAGCCACACCCCTAAGGAACCGGCAAGGGCTCTAACTCCAGGTGGGAGTTCAGGGCTGCATGGGCTTCCATTTCCTCCTCTGATAAATTCAGAACAGGCCAGGTGTGGTGGCTCACGCCTGCAATCCCAGCACTTTGGGAGGCCAAGGTGGGCAGATCACCTGAGGTTGAGAGTTCAAGACCAGCCTGACCAACATGGAGAAACCCTGTCTCTACTAAAAATACAAAAGTAGTTGGGCATGGTGGCACACACCTGTAATCCCAGCTACTCGGGAGGCTGAGGCAGGAGAATCTCTTGAACCTGGGAGGCAGAGGTTGCGGTGAGCCAAGATGGCGCCATTGCACTCCAGCCTGGGCAACAAGAATGAAACTCCATCTCAAAAAAAAAAAAAAAAAAATCAGAACAGTGCCCACCTCCTGACCCAGGGCCGTCTGCAGGTTGAATAAAGTCGTTGGCCCAGTGCCTGGCACAGAATGTCTTGGCTCAGGAGCTGCTGGGATGACTGTAGTTGGCAGCATAAGTGGACCCAAGTCCCCTCCTCCCACACTTGGGATGGCACAGAAAGGCAGGCGCCTGGGGAGCTCCCTGCCCTGCTCCCTTCTCTGAGTACCACAAGCTGCTCCCTTTCCTACTGGCTGGGCTTGAGCCTGCCCCCTGCCCTGTCCTGCCACTTTGAATTGAGGGCCTCTGGGCCACAGACTTCACCACTTCCTGCCTCAGTTTCTCTACCTATAAAATAGGATAATAGCAGTCATGACCTACAGATAAAGAATCCCTGGCTGGTGATGAGTACTTGCTAAACAGGCTATTAAAATATCATGAGAATATCAGAGCTGGAGGCTATTAAAATATCACAGAGGGGCCAGGTGTGGTGGCTCATGCTTGTAATCCCAGCACTTTGGAAGGTTGAGGCGGGCAGATCACCTAAGGTCAGGAGTTTGAGAGCAGCATGGCCAACATGGTGAAACCCTGTTTCTACTAGAAATACAAAAATTAGCTGGGCGTGGTAGTGTGTACCTGTAATCTCAGCTACATGGGAGGCTGAGGCAGGAGAATCTCTTGAACATGGGAGGCAGGGGTTGCAGTGAGCTGAGATGGCGCCACTGCACTCCAGCCTGGATGACAGACTCTGTCACACACACACACACACACACACACACACACATCACAGAGCCATTCCTGGAGGTAGTCCAGAGGAATCTCCTGACTCAACCTTAGAAGGAGTCAGGGAAGGCTTCCTGGAGGAGGTGACAGTTGGCTGGGTCACTACGGGTGAGTAGGAGTTAACCAGGCAGAGAGCCCAGTGGGCAAATTGCAGAGGAGAGAAACTGCCAGAGTGCTTGGATGAGAGAACCACTAAGCCAGGGTTGTAAGATTCAGAGGGGAGAGGAGGAAGGGCAAAGCCTGCCTGCTGGCCTTGAACATGCATTTGGCATTATTCTGATCCCAGGGAACAGACTGCAGGGGTGGAAGGCAGGAGCCTGAAGACCAGGGTGGAAGGGACTGCTCTAGGCCAGGGGAGCAATGATAGGGCTGGACCAGTTGGAGGTACGGATGGGTGAGGCATGGGTGGATCTTGGAGAGGTAAGGAGGAGCCCGGGGAGGGAGCAGCTGCCATGAGGGAGCAGGTTTAGGTGCAAATCAGCAATCTGTTCTCAGCGTCTGGAAATTGCCGTGCCACTAGACACCCAGGTGGCGCATCACAGGATGGCTTTGAAGCAAGCTGGGAGCTTGGAAGATAGCAGAAAGAGGGCAGAAGGAAAACCAGGAGTGAGTGGAAAGCTGGGAGCCAAGGGAGCTGGGGCTTTCATAGGAGGAAAGGGTCCTGAAACCCCTGTTTAGATAATTTAGTAGTAGGCATCTTGCTTTTTCTTTTATTTTTTTCTGAGATGGAGTTTCGCTCTTGTCACCCAGGCTGGAGTGCAATGGTGCAATCATAGCCTACTGCAACCTCCGCCTCCTGGGTTCAACTGATTCTCCTGCCTCAGCCTCCCAAGTAACTGGGATTACAGGTGTGCACCACCATGCCCAGCTACTTTTTGTATTGTTAGTAGAGACAGGGTTTCGCCATGTTGGCCAGGCTGGTCTCGAACCCCTGACCTCAGGTGACCCACCCACCTCGACTTCTCAAAATGCTGGGATTACAGGCATGAGCCACTGTGCCCAGTCTGTCTTACTGTCTTTTGTGGCTGCTCTTCCCCAACCCTGTTCTCTTCCCTTAGCCTTTCAGGATTTCAGTACAGGCCTCTTTCTTTCTTTTCTTTCTTTTGTTTCTTTCTCTTTCTTCCTTTCT